GCTAAATAACATGAGTTAGATTTTTATAGCCTGTTTGACAAATCTAAAATTCTTTGCTTGAATAGCCAAAGGGTCAATTTGCCATATAACAATAATGGAAAAGGAAATAAAGAATATAGCTAAGGAAAAGTGATAATAAAGTCACTAACCAATTGACTAAAATTTTGCCCGTTTTACCCCGACGTTGACGATTCAGCATTACAAGTAACCGGTGATGTGTCGGTTTCGTTTACTTTAGGAATGCAAGTAAATAAGCCATAAGTTTTCCGCCTACAAATGTGTATTCACTTACATAACTATAACACAATTAATAATTTAAATTAAATTTTATTCTCTCAACTATTTATGTGATCAATAAATAAAGCCAAATACGTTATTTTCTGTTTAGTGTGNTCAATAACAACCCACTATGCTATTTAGTGTCGTGTTTAGTTATATGTTTATGCATAAAGCAGAGAGATTTTTGCTGTTATACTAGTTATAGGGAGTGTTGACTATTCCATTTGCAAATTGTTGTTGCGTGTACCTGCATACATACCTTGCAAAAAATACATTAGTGTGTTGTTAACAAAGCAACCAATGCTGGAAACAAGAAGGAAAGTTTAGAAACAAGATGTAAAAATAGAAACTAGGTCAATTAAAAATAGACTTGCACAACAACAAAATAGAACATATGTCCCAACCAGAAGCAACACCATCTATTGAGTTGACGGAAGTAGTCAGGAACTTGTGAGGAGGTAAACGCGGAGACATCATTTTGTTCTATACTGTTTGGACCTATGTTAGTATAGACGGCATATAAATAGTATAGAAATTCCACAATCAACATGTGAAAAGAATACACAAACCACAATTTAGATACTAGTCTATCACAATATTTTAAAACCTTACATACACAAATATTATCCTACATGTAGTTCAAACTCATGTTGCTGCTGCCAAATAGACAATGTGTGGATAGAATAGGCTGCCAATTGGTATGTAAACTACGCTTGCCAATTCATACAAAAAGAAACCGAATATAAGTGCAAGCCATTTACTGTAATAAAGGAATAGTATAGGCATAACAATTGTTCATATAGAACTCGCATACACATGTTTCTATATAAGAAGAATACAAATCTTGTAAACTAATCAGAATTCGTATTAACTATGATGACGAGTTGCACAACAAATAGTATAGTTGATGTCAAACCGTTCCACTTTCAAAGTTATGATTCTCCCTTTTCCCTAACCACAAAAATCATGGCCAAATTTTTTCGTCCCTTTCATACCCTACCCACCCGAAGCAAAACATGTCTCACTTATAGAAANTTTACTTAAAATACTTTACCTTGTCTTTGTTCCACCACCCTTGAGTGGTAGATCTGTCAACAAACAAAAATGNTAGGTNCCAGTTTTCCANGGAAGTCGANATCCAGATCNAAAAACTTAAAATCCGACTCCTTTCTTCCCTTCTCTTCTCTTATAAGAAGAATTCGCATCCGGTTCATAGCCGTCTACCTTTTATTTCGTACACCAACGTCGTTTTCCTTGAACCCCCAACATTCAGGCTTCTTCGGTTCAACCGCAACAACCAATTATAACTCGGTTAGAAAACAACACTAGCTTCCTACGCCGTTCACTCTCCGCCGAAGGTGCTTTATCTCTCGATCGGTCTCACGGACTTCCTCGTAACTCCGATCAACCGACTGCTTTAATTTGTCTTTGTCTTCAAGCCTGCACTTTTTCAGAACAAATAAAAAAAATTGAAAACATGTTTACCTTATTTACAGCACAAGAACGATCAATTCATTAAGGATGTTTTTGGTAATATTGTACTTTATACACAATATATCGTAACCAATGTTTATTATGGTTACCCAGCTACTAATAATATTTTTGTTGGCTATTGTGCCTAATTCCCCATAGCCAAAAGCGAAAAACAATTTGAGAAGAAATAGCGTGACCAAAAAAAAAAAAAATTGAGAAGAAATATATGTTATGTAATTATGAAGAAATGATTGATAGTCTGTCTCTAACCCAACCCATGTCGGCATTTCTAGCTCAGACGGTCGATAAAACATTGGCACAAATACATGTATAAAAGTGTTGATATATATACTTTTGACAAATTCCACTATCAATCAAACGTAAATAATGAATCAAACAAGCTTATAGAATCATATTGATTATAGAGTACATTATATAATATGGTTTCTAGAGGTAGTAAACTCTTGATTTAAGTTGTTTCTTAGCTGCTCATATAATCCTCCGCATCATCAAGACCCACCCAACTCATGAAAGCAAATAGAAACTCCCTAAAACCCACTTTCCCTTTCTTTCCCCAATCCATTTCTTCTGCATCACACAAAACAAATAAAACAGAGGATAAATAGAATGAGAATCCAATAAGTAATTAATCCATTTCGTCTGAATAAACGCATACAAAAGAGAAAAGATTGCGCGATTTATGTATACCGAATCTCATATTGGTGACATGTGAAGGAGATCTCTCTAATGGATAGTCTTCGCTATTCAATGTTTTTATCACATCAGCCTTGTTCAATTTCCCTTTACCATCTTTGTCCAAAAACAAGAACACTTCGACTATCGGATCAAATATAGATTCAACCAACTTTGGACCCATCTCTCTCGATTCCTAAAAAAACACAACAAGATTTTGTTACTTTCAATACCTAAAACATTCAATGTTTCTACCATCATCTCATTGATCATTACCGCGCTAGATTTAGGGGAAGGTTTTGCTAGAAGATAAATGAGACAGAGAAGTACTACAAACTCATTGAACTGTATCCCTTTGCTTCCATCAACATCACACCATCCATATAAACCTTTCACTTCTTCCTCCGACAAACTCAGGTTTAATTCCTCTAAGCATTTCTTCAGCTCCTCCATATCGATTGTTCCGTTTCTATCTTTATCTGCGAATATTCCAAGAACCAAAATGTAAAACTAAAACCAATTTAATCTTCTTGTAATCTGAAAAAGCTTAAGAAAACTCACCGTAGGATTCGAAAACGTTTCTTATGTTTCTTAATCCTTCTCTCAGCTTAGGAAACTTCATGATTATTGAATCCATGGACTTTAAACTCCGATGTCCCGGATAATTCCTCCGGCTCTCCACCATTTTCCGTTCAAGCTTCGCGTCCAACTCAGCATACTTCTTGTTGTTCTCCGAGCTAACACAGCAGCAGAGCATGCTTTCTACGCAGCCTTGTATTTCAAATTTATGTATTAAACCAAAGAAAACGTAGCGAAAATCGGTAGAAGTTACCAAAATTTAGAACTCACTCATGTTTATTTTGACGGTCGTTGGAAAGATGGATGAGAGGAACAAAGGCGTCGCAGAACAAG